TTCCCTCCTGGCAGGCAACCCTTGGCGAGTGAAATGTCTGCCTTCCAGGATGAAATCTCAGCTCTGCATACACTTGAGAGTCCTTCTTGATGGACAGCCTTTCAAGAACAACAGGGATGGAAACAGAACAAGGAATAGTTCAACAAGGATGCAGTGAGAGAATGATTTTAGGCTCAGTCTGTGCTTGGCTTTTGGCTGCTGAAGTTCAGACAGGCATGGAGCTTGGGGTCCTTCTCTCTCTGTCTCTGTGAGAGCTCTGTGGGAATGAGGAGAGGGGGACTTTTGCCTCCATGCCTGCTTGGAAATACAAGCATGCCTCTAGCTTGGAGTCTTTCTCTTTAAGAAGATTTAGAGCCAGTTGTAAGTTGAGGACTACCTGTAACTACTGTTTTCCCCCGAAGTCTTATTTTCTTTTGACCCCCGAGATAAGCACTTGGCCTTGTTTTCGGGGAGGTCTTATTATTTTTGAGGAGCAGGAGGCGGTGTGTGTGCTCACATCATGACTGCTGCTCTGTTGCAATATTTTTGGGAGGGCTTTTTTCTGGTTTCGGTGGAGAGCTTATTTTAGTGCATGGGCTCAAAAGCCCGATTGGGCTTATTATCCAGCAAGGTCTTATTTTCAGGAATACAGGGTAGGTTCTAATACTGCAAAGTTATTCAGATTGTTAAAAAGCTTGTCTAAAGAATAGTCTGCCAGCTTCTTCAACATGGAAGTATATTAAGATTTTTCTTGGATAATTATTAAATCAAAAACAAAGACAACTCAATTTCTTCTTATCAAACTTTATAAAAGACTTTTGTCATAGGTAGAGATGGATGGCCTTATGTCACATTTATAAAATAATCAGAATGATCAGAATACTATGTGTTTCAGCCATTTTCAAATGTAAAATATTAATTTGGTGGGAGTCATAACAGTCCTTGAGGAAGACATAATGGAATATGTATATTTTCTTATCACAGTTCATCTGGTAATACTACTTTAGAAAATAACTATGTTACCAGATGGGTCACACAGCAATGATGAAAATGAGCCGAATATGGAAAAGCAAGGACATCAGCTTGGCAACCAAATATAGGTTAGTCTGCTCTATTGTGTTCCCCATAGCTACCTATGATTGTGAAAGCAAGACAAGAAGAAAATGGATTCACTTGAGCTGTGTTGCTGGAGAAGGTTCCTGTGTATTCCTTGGATAGCAAAGTTGACCAACAAGCAAGTACTGGAGCGCATAACACCAGATGTCACTAGAAGGAAAAATTACAAAACTATGTCTCACTTATTTTGGCCATGTCATGCAGGGGAATTCACTGGAGAAAGCAATTATGCTGGGAAGAGTTACTGGTAAAAGGAAACCACGCTGCCAAAGAAAACAAGAACACCATCAAAGCTGACACCAGCCAGAGCATATAACAGCTCAAGCATTGCAAAATCGGAGGATAGGGAGATGGCCCTTAGAATCACCAAGAGTCAGACACGACTTGAATGGATAACATCTTTATCAGATGATTGCTATGGATAACTAGGAAGGGATCTTTCCAGCTGGCATTAGGCAGAATAGCCTCATCTTAACATAGCTACTCTCTATGACAGATACAAATTCAGAATTAGATAGCAATACCTGATAATTAGTATTTATTTTGAATCTCTTGTAGAAACCACAGATCTGGCACACAGCACAGATTTTGTCTTAATGTTTAAAATTAAGAGAGCCAAGGGTGCTATTGAGAGAGCCTGCATATATTCATATTTTCAAAAAATTCTGTTACCTCATTACAGTTCTTATGTATACATAACACACTAAGAGTGTTATTTTATACTTTTCAGAAACAACACTAATGTTGGGAAAATAAAGTTCACTTGAAGAAGGTTTTAAAATCTGCTTCCACTGCAATTTTTTTTGGTGTAATCTCTCATTTTGTTTCAGTGAACCCAAAGCTAATCTGAACCATAAACTCCCCGCTTTTGTTTTCTCTTATGTTTTCTAGCTAGGCTGCAGCCTCTTAAGTTGCCTGAATGATTTTTCTTGGGTTTAAGAACGTCCAACTCTAAGCCTGTTTTCAAGGCTCAGTATTAACTTCCAGAAACAATGAACACAGTATAGTTGTGCACTGATCCTTGTTACTTCATGTGCTAATGAGTACTGGAACGAATTGTCTTTAATCAACTATATTGTGTTTGGGCTTTAATTAGCAAGTATGACTGACTGAAAAGAAGTAGCTTGACTTGAATTTGGAATTAAATTAATTCCCAATGAAATTGAGAATATTTAAATTCTGCCAATTTGTCATTCTGGTTTATATGAAGGTAAATTTTTGTCAGTTTTTCCCTACTGCATGTGTCAAAATAGGAGATGTTAATTCTAGTGGAATAATTGTGGCAATTTGTTGCAAGTCCCCTTATATAACATTTCTAATAGATTCAGAAGTAATTAACAGCAACTAGATTAGATTAGCTGGATAATTTTCCTATATGAGAGGCCGGAACTGAGTGATATGTTGTGAAGCTTCAAACAGCTGGTCATCTGTAGATAACAGCTTGTGGATCTGAATTTGTTAGTGAATGTGTTAATAAGACACATAGTTAAAAAAAAATCTGATTAGTACCATGTATCTTTGCTATGAAGCCCCTTCTCTTCCAAGGAAGCTGTAATTTCACCAGACATACACATGCATTTCCTGTGCTAGAAAAATAGATCTTGTAAAATCTTAAAATAATATACACTTAATAGAGAGATATCAGTCCAGCTACCTTCTATTCAACTGTCTATTTTAAGACTAGTAAATAGAGCCAGGTTTTCTGGTTGAGAAAAAGGAACAGTTTAAATTGGATTTTTTTTGTTTGTAGATGAAGCTTCTGGTTCTTCATAATTCCTTGGTCAAAGATAAGAAAAACAATTTTATTCAAATGTTTTGGATTTCTATACTATTTTGGGATCATTTTTTCCTTCGTGAATCTTGAAGCAATGTAGGAAATTCCTCTGCCTAGTTGACTCTCAACAATTCAATAAGGAAACTGAGGATAGAAAGCCATTCAAGTTCTTTGTGCCATGGTGGTATTTGAAAATCCTCCAAAGTTTCTTGTTAATTTGTTTAAAATATATATATAATTTGGCCAATTCTCTGCAGTGTTGTGAGTTGTCAATGTGCACAATCTACTTTTGGTGATTTTCTAATACTTCACTTAATTCAGAATAAATAATTCCAGGAAAGGAGCCCTTTTCTTTGGACTTGGGTCATTTAAAAAAAATAATAATAATTAAGGGCTTTAGAATGGGTATGCATTCATGTTCTTTTCAATGATTACGAACCTCATTGTTGAAAGTAATGATATACTTCATATACTTTACATCACTTAACAGTATCAGTCAGTTAAAAATATAGATATAGGTAATCCTCTATTTACAACCGGAATTGGGCCCCAAATCATGGTGATTCAGGGGAGCAGTTGTTAAGCGAGACACCGTGTGACTTTCATTCAATGACTGCAATCCCACTTGGAGTTGTTAAGCGAAGTGCCAGGGAGAGGGCATGGGCTTGGTAGGGTGGGGAGAGGGTACTGACCTCCCACCATATCTGAGAGGCTCAGGCCCCCTCCCTACTGCACTTGGGAGAACAATGGTACCTGGTAGTGTTCTGGAAAGTTTAGAAGGCTTTTTGAGCTTTTCAGATTGCTAGTAAATGCTTTAATTCTGCCCTCCAGAGAGGAGGGGAAAGTGCTAGTAAGCGAATGTTACTTCAGTTGCTGGCTTTTACTCGCCAGCTCTTTTTCCTCCCCTCCAGAGGGATGGAGTTGTTTCTCTTCACTAGCTTAGAAAAAGTATTTTTTCTGAGAAACGTATTTTTCAGAAAAAAGCTAAAAAAGAGCTAGTGAATGGAGGTGATTCTGCCCCTCTAGTGGCGAGGGCATTGATCAGCAAGCGAACACCATCTTTGCTGCTTTTTGAAAACTGACATTTGATCACTATTGCTTTCTCCTCACCTCAGAGGGGAAAAATCACCAGCACACGTTTTTGAAAGGCTGAGAAAGGCTTCCAACCTTCTGCTGGTTCCCCAATTGTCTTGCTGGGGAAGTTGGCAGAAAAAGTACAAGTAGCAATTACATGATCCAGGACATTGGCAAACAGATTTCCAAGTGCCTGAAATGTGGTCATATGTTCTAAAGCACTGCCATGTTTTACAAAAGCCAGAAAGTGCCAAAAAATACCCGTTCTGAAACTATTATGACCACAAATAGTTGTTAAACAACCTGTTGTAAGTTGAGTTTTTTGCATATGTAAGCTATCTAGCTTCCTCCCCCCCCCTTGTGGGAATAGAGGTTTGTTCAGAAAACTATCAGAACTTGAATATTGTTGGCTGAAATTCTTGTGTCAGAAGGAATTTAATTCCTGTATAATGACTTCTCACATTTCTCCTTTAGGTAGGGTTGATTTGGTAAGAATTACTAATAAATATGACAAGACCCAGAACTATTAATTCTCTTTAGACACTTGAACTGACCTGTGAAATGTCCTTTTCTGTGATTTTTTTTGGTCTTATCATCAGTGACATTTATTTCATAATGAGAAATGAAGATAAGCCATAATATGGATTTTTCAGATATAATTGAACAGATATTGGTTAAGGGAAAAATAATCACTGGAAGTAAATGACATTAATGGCATCAATGTTTGGATCAATCATCATATTTTTTAGAATTAGCTTTAATTTAAAAAAATGTGGGAATGCTAGACGTCTATAGACATAATCAATTTATATTTGCAAAATATACTTATACCTTGAAAATAATCCAAGATGTTCCCAATTCAGTTTTCTTTTGGTAATGGTATTAAATAATTCAAATCTTAGATTTCTAAAATTTTGCAATGGAAAGATGTTGGTTATTACAATGAAGGAAATTACACTGTTAAATCTTACCCTTGTTCATATTTTTAACATCTTAATTTATATAGCACAACTACTAGTATTAAAGCCCATTTCTAACATTATCTTTTTATTTATAGGTGCAGGAGAATCTGGGAAGAGCACAATTGTAAAACAGATGAAGTAAGTCTTTTTTTTAAATTAAAAATTATTGTACTCTTCTATGCCATGTTACACATATTTTACTAAGTTTTTTCTTAAACTATATATGATGAAACTGTATTAAAAACTCATCTGTAGGAGGACTAATTGTAATTGTGCACATAATGAATAGAGATAAAATAGGAGAGCTGTCAGATTTGTATAGTTAAGTAAATTATTTTATGATCATTTCACTTATAGTGCCGAAGGCATTATGAGAACTCTTCTAACATATAAACTGGATTACTCTAAATAGGACACCAGTTGTCTCTCTGTGTAGGTGACATTCATGGAAAAATAGCTATATTTTACTTCCCTTCTCATAAGGTAATCTTAAGAAAGCCTGTTCCCTCTGTTTGATCAGGGACACTCTTCATTTTCTTCCAGTTGTGCTTTACAGATCTTCTTTGCTGTTTCGTAACTGGAGGACCACTGAAAACCAGGGGGTCCTCTTAGATCCCTACATATAGATTGTCTACATTGGCATGATCTTATTCGAGGCCATTGTCACCTTTTTATTTCCAATGGCGACTAAAGCCTGAATTGAACCATGTACCAGAGCTCCAGGAGCAACTCTATTTTTTCTCTGAACCTAGTAGCATTCATTGGGCATACTTAAACCTTGCACTCAGTGTTCCAGCTGCTTATCAATTTAGCTAGTTACTACCTTATAGAGATAGAGCATTTACATTGCTAGGAATGGTTACAGTATTTGAGTGCTTTAAGTAAAAGAAAGGATGATCCAACAAAGCTAAATGATGGGGGATCTAGGAAATAGTTTTCCACTTAGGTATTCACTGCCAGAAGATGGCTGCCAATTAGGATGACTTTAGAAAATTAGATAAATGTTCTCTAAAATGGAGTGCTAGTTATAATTAATTTAATTTCTGTTATCCATGATGGGCTAGGTAATATTCACATTAATAACATACCTTGCTATTCTAGTTCTTTGGAAGTTTAAATGGAAAATGTTAATATCCTTGTAATGTTTAGTGTTCTTTGCAAGTTTGAGTAATTGTGCTTTATCAAAGGCAATTAAAACAATAATTTTCCTCTGGCTTTACATTCAAACAAAACACAAATCAGAACTTGTTTTTAACACTTGCGAACCATTAAGTAGTCCAGTTGTTATACCATGATCAATATCCTTTTTCCTTCATTTTTGAGATTTTCCGGGTTTTTTTGCTTTATAACTATGCTAAACATTTTAAAAATTAAGCCGCTGTACTGTTTTCTGCCAGAAACCAGTGGGAAATTATATTGCTGATGTTTGATGTTGTTACTGAATTTCACAAACATGATCCTGAGGGCCTCTGGGGACTGCAGAAAATATAACTGAGGGCTGATGTGAACTACGGCAGCTTTAAAGTGGAATATTCACTGTGCTATTGTACAATAGTGGAGTTCTCTCCACAGTTAGCTTCGTTTGACTTCAGTTTTTTACTACACCATATTGTTATTATATCATATTACAGAGAAAAGTGATTATTGGCACCCATACATTAGAATTTAGAAACAAAAGTAAAATAGTGTTCTGAAGCAAGTATTTACCATCTTCTGAAACATACATACTGACATTGATTGATTGAATTTATAGAGCCACCCTATTCAAAAAAATACAGGTGTGTAAAATAAAACAATGACCCTTTAAATAACCACATGACAACTGAACATGACAATTGGATTTGGATTTATTACATTTATATGCCGCCCTTTTCCCTGAAGGGGACTGAGAAGAAAGGAGACTCCACTCAATGAGATCCAAATACCAGGGATTTTAATGGCTTTTCTAAAGGCAAGCAAACCTGGGGGCCTATTGTATATTGGGTGCAATGGGTGGGAAGACCATTCCAGAAAACGGGCAGCTTCCTAAAAGACATACTTCCTAAGTGGCACGATATGACAAGGTTTGAAAGAGGGAATCTGGACCATACTCTCCCCATGGAAGCTGTAGAGCAAGCAGATGCTTTTTAAGAAGTGGTCCCACATGTAGCCTAGTATTGTGTCATGTGGGGCTTTAAAGCACATTGTATTGCATTCAGAAACTTATAGGGAGCCAGTGCTGGTTAAGTAGTAGTGTCACATGATAGTAAAATGTTGTATACCCACATTATTACAATCTGGATAACCTGAAACTTCCAAATAGTCTTTCAAAGGCAGCCCCATGTATAGATAGTCTTCAACTTACATCCATTCATGTAATGACCATTGGAAATTATGATGGCCATGGAAATGTGACTTATAAGCTACACTTAGACTTACAACTGTGACAATACATACACCCATGATCATGTGAGTGAATTTCAGGTGCTTGGCAACCAGCTCACATTTATGACTGGTCACATCATCCTGCACTCTTGTGATTCTGTGTTTCTAAGTCAGGGGGTATCTGTAGAATTTGTTGCAACAGACCAATGAGGAGGAGACTAAGACCTGCCAATCTAGGAATAGGCACAATTGGTATATAACATACAGTTGTGCAAAGCCCCAACAACCTCAGCTGTCCGTACTCTTTGAGTAAGAACTGTGAATACAAGTGAACCCCCAGATTCTGCACTAAGTCTTAATGGGGAAGTGTCAACACTGTTCAGAACAGTGACAACATTCCAGTTTCTGGATATGCGCAACGCAGAACCTATAACTGCTTAGTGTTGAGTTCCAATTATTAGATTGTTCTTCCCCATCCTCACCTCACAACCTCCACATACTGGGACAGCACCTCAACAGCTGGCAGAAATGTTCAACTGGGTATCATCAGCATATTGTTGATACTTCCTTATCCCTAGTCTCATGCACATTGCTATTGCTAATTGTAGGTCAGCTCAGGAATGGGCGAAAGCAGAAGGCAAACGTATTTCATATTAGTGACATTATATTATAGAAAACTTTAACAAAGTATTTTATATAAAATAATGTTAAATCCTTTGTAGACACGTGATATGCTGATTTTTAAAATCTTTCCTCTTCTGTTTCTTTGCAGGATTATCCATGAAGATGGATATTCAGAAGACGAATGCCGACAATACAAAGCAGTGGTTTACAGCAACACCATCCAATCCATCATGGCTATAATCAAAGCCATGGGCAACCTGCAGATTGACTTTGGGGATCCTTCTAGAGCAGTTAGTTTTCATTTTTACTTTTACCTTATTGTTTATTAACTTCCTCTGTGGGCATCACATTGTTCTTGTCTAGAATCTTGAGGAGGTATTTAGTCATCCAGTTCTGAAAAATGGTGCTTGTTTTCTGTAAACATTGTCTGCTGGATACGGAAGACTTTTTAAATAGTTGTAACTTACCTTGCACAACAGAAATTTAGAAGAGGAAACTAGTGACATTTGGTATCTTTTAAATATATATTTTTACACAGATCACTTTTTCAGTTTAAAAACAATGGACTCCAGTCTTTTTCTACAAAATCAGCTTGGTATATTTCTTAAGGCTTGATGACATAAATATGATTAAGTTTTTTGGGGAGGGGAGGCAAGGAATTATTTAGCAATTCAATAGCAAGGACGTGTCAAGAATCCTAGTCAGTCAGTGTCAAAGTGGCAACAACTACTCCCTCATCCACCCTTCTTTCTTTGGATGCTTCTGTATATAAGCTCAATCTTTTAAGCCTACAGGAAGTAGCTCAATGTACTTTCCCAGCTGGGGTTGCACTAAGTAAAAACCATGTTGTGCAAAGTTAGTTTTGCTGTTTGCTTGGTGATTGTGAAGCGGCTTTAGAGCAACTGTATCAAACAGTGTTTTTCACCCAACAATTCCATGGATACCGACAATACGAAAATCAGCCAACATTTTTGGACATCTAGTGCAGTATTTGCTCAAGTTTTGTGGCAGGGAAGTGGCCTCTTAAGAGGTAGATTAATAACAGTAATTAGTCATGCAGAAAACTACTGCTTTTAATTTTTTCTTTCTTTCCCAACGCAGTGCTCAAAATGAAACTATATAGAGGAAGGAAGTTTCTCTGTGCTGCTCTTTGAGTAAAAAGCTACAATCTAATGTCTGGTTTTAAAAGAAGCAATAGGTTCATGTGTAACACATTGTTGCAAACATTAAAGCCACAGTGGAATGAGTTGATTCAGGACTTTTGAAAACTTATTTGAGGTGATATTGGTGCCTCCAATTTTACCAATTACAAATTCAAACTGTTGTGAAATGGTGATTTGGATAACATTTTGAAAGCTGGATAGAAAGGAAGAAACTACCCATCAAAAGGGTGAAACAATTTTGTTAGAGTCAACCTTTAGGCTTCTCTTAGCATTCTAAAATACGTCCTTGGGGAGAGGAGAAGAAAAACTTGACAGGTCTGTCCTTGGATCACAGTCCTGGTCTTTGCAATCAGATTATCATGTAGTTCAGTCTTGATGCCTTCAGAAATGGAAGCTGGAGAGAAACTGACATAGTTTAGTTATTTGCTCATTTTAGAGTTTTCCAGCTTCTGTCTTCAAAGAATGTAAGACATTTAATGACTGGCTTCTAGCTGGATGGTTTAAGGACTGGTTATTTTTATAGAATCTTATTTTTCTTCCTTCCCTCTATCTTTGACCTTTACCTTTAATCCATTCTCGAAGAATTTTTATAATTATTTCATTCTGCTACCCAATGGCAGTCCTAATGAAACAAGGCAATTGATGTTTCCATTCCAAAATATACATTTGTTACCATCAGCTAGGAATGTTCATTTGATCAGTCCCACCTTATGGAACATTCTTTACCCCAAAATTATATTAGCCCAATTCCTCTTGATGTCTCTCAAGATCTGGTTATGTCACCAAACCTGGGAATGGCTAAATGGCTCTACTATTGAGGTGGATATTTCTTATGCTCTCTCTGTCTAGTGTTTGTTATCTTTTGCTTTTAATAATATATTTTTTAATACTGATTCTTTTATTATTTATAATGACTGTTTATATATGTCCTGCTTTATCAGGTTGTTGTACATCACCTAGACTTGTTTTTTGCGAGATAGACAACCATACAAATATGATTAATATGTAGTTATATAAATATTTATTTATTTCCTCAAAATTTAACATTTTCTTAAATAGGCATCTGTCTGATTTGCGACCTAACCTGGTGCGTCCTATCCTTTGCTCAATAGTAACAAATTAGCACAATATAGGAACAATTTTTGCAGCAAATATTATTATCTCAAAACAGTGAGAATGTTTCCATTTTTACTAAATTATAATCAAGATTTTGTACAAATTGGGATATTGCAAGCTATATAGTGCTAATTTCTGAACTGAGGATAAAGTTTCCTATCTATTAGCTTCCTGTGATGCAGGCAAATGTATTTGGCTTTTCTCTTACTTCCTCTTTAATGAGTGCCTGCAGCGCAAAGCCCAAAATATTAGGCACCAGTGGGAAATCATTTCTTTTCCCAAGGTTGATGATCTATAGAGACTTTATCAATCACAAGGTTAGAAGGATCATAGAAAAAGTCCATATGATGACAGAATGAAAATGAATGACGGACCTTCTCTCTTTAACAAATACAGTATAACTGGGAAACTAAGTCATTACCTCAGAGTTAATTCAGCACAACTCTTCTTAGATGCAAATTTTTTCAAGTATAATCTTGCAACCAAAATATATGACAACAGCACCCGTGTTCTGTGGAATTATGATGCAAGGTAGAAATTGAAAGACAAACAGGACTTACTGGAAAATATTCAGAGAAGAATGAAAGATCAAAATCGGGAGTATATGTTTCTTTCACTAATAGATGCGTAGTAAAAGCCTTTCCCCATGCATTAGGATAAATCTGGAATAATATATTGGAGAGTATTGTCCTTACAAGGTATAAACTTGTGATAGAGACTTTCATGGCCATTTTCCAGTTATTCTGTTTTCCTTTTTAAAAATAGATCTGATCTTAAATGGCTAGGGACTTTTCCATTCATTAAATGTTTAAAATTAACAATACTACAGAAACTCAAGTACAGTACAGGGATTGCTTCCTAGGAAAGAGATGCATCATTGAATTCTATAAGCTCACTTCATTTTGTGCTAACTTGGGTTTGTTTTTTTAAAATAATAATATATTGCCTGGTTTTTTTAAATGATTGAAACATCTCTTTTATATTGGACAAATTTGATAAAACAAGGATTATGCACATTCTAAAATGCTTCTAAACACTAATTTCTATAAGCAAAAATGGCATCTGTTTCTATAAAATACGCCACATTGGTTTTTTCAAGTATTTCACTGAGAAGGAGCCATTCTATTATAACATTACTCCACTTAGATCAAAATTATGTAATTATGTTTACTTTGGAGAGTTTATAGTTGATGCAGAATATGTCTCCTTTTTTAAATAGTACAGTGATCTACATAGTCCTGGAGTTACAACAACAACTGGGATGGTTGGGATTGCCATCACTAGGCTATATAGTCATGTGATATCACACTTTATAACCATATCACTTAATGATGGCACTCATTGCCTCTGCAGAAGATTTTTTTTTAAAAAAATTACAATGTAAAAAAATACTAAAATGTAGGCAAGAAAAAATATAACATAAAGTGCAAGGGCAGTACTTCCTGTTAGAACCTTCAAATGCATATTTTCAATTTACTTTTATTTCATATTACTTTTACAGACCCCCCAAGAAATTCTAAAGAAAGAACGTATAACTTTTGGAACATAGCAAGAAGTAGAAATGTAGGCAGCATTTAAGCAACCCGTTCTGTAACTGGCATAGAGGCATGACAATGTGAGACTTAGCACCACCAGAAACCATAAATCAAAATCTTATTGCAGATTTCCAGCTGTATGTTTTACCTGAATCTATAAAAATACAAGCTTCCTGGAATAAGGATTCCCAGTTTATGTCACTGGATTTCTCCAACTTAAAGATTTTAAATTTTAATCAGACTCTGTGGGGAAACAAACCCCTTTATTTTAAAAGACTCTGCCTTTTCTTTCTCCTTCAGAGAAAGATTGAAGTAATTCATGGGAATATGCCTTTTGTATCCCAACTTGCAGTCTGGCCATTCATTCATTCATTCCAATATAAACGAATGCCTTGATGCTGAGAAAGTTGTGGTCACAAGGATAGCAAACCATTATGAGAAAATTTATTATGCTTCCCCAAATTGTTTGAAGTTTATGAAGATGCAACAGTGAGGTCTATTGTTTCATAATTAATATTGTTTCATAATTAGTAAGGCAAATGAATACACCAACTACTTCTGAACCATTTCAAACAACCAAGAAGTTGTTTATCTGTAAACAAGCACATTCAGGTATTCTGTTATCTGTAAGAATATTTACACCGTTTGGAGAGTCCAAGCAACGGGTTAAATCAGTCTGGTTGCCCTGGGACTGGGGAATCTTTTTACTTGGCCACGCCTCCTGGTGTTACTTGGCGCCTGAATTTTTCCTCAGTCTGCCCATTCAGGACTTGTATTTGTGAGCTCCAGCATAATTTAACTAGGCTTGGACTCTCCTTCTAGCTTTTTCCCTTTCTTTTTCCTTAATTTGTTTCCCATAACTAGCACAGTTTAAATTGTTTTTTTGCTTCATGTCGTTTTGACTTCTCCTAGAGACTTGGAGGTAGGCGTGGTGGTGGTGGGGTGCTCTGCTTGCCGCGCCGCCTTTGGAGGCAGCGGAGAGCCGCTGTATTTGCTTTAAAGCGCAGCAGGAATGGTGAGGCTTCCGGTGGCTGCTGGCATTCCCATTTTAGTTGACTTCTGTTTTTTGCCAATTTCTTCGCCCTTCGGAGGGCGCAGCCTAATGCGGAGAGGTGCGTGGCTGCTTTACGTTGCGCCACCACCATCTTTATCTCCCTCTTCTCCCTCGCACTGGAGCGGTGGCCAATTGGGAGGACCCGAATTTGTGCCCTTTTTTCTATTGGTTTTCCCGTTCAGCCACACTTCAGCAGATAACCGTAGGATGGTAAGCTGGCCTTGATCGGGTCTCTGGCTGGGTCACTTCCACTCACAACATTTCCCCAAAGGGCGCTAGCGTCTTGGCCATCTGATGGTCATACACTGGCACAGGTAGGATTTTTAAATAATTTTTTTTGTTCTTTAATCTACTGATTCTCCCTGCTTTATCTGCCTGGTCTTGCAGCCTTGACTCCTTTTCTACCTTCTCACCTCCTGTCGAGTGGCTGGATTCATTGGACTCATTGCAGAGCCCCAGTTTACTCCTCTGGTGTTTTTTTTTCCACGAACTGTTCCTTCTTCCACAATACCTGCTTGTCGTCTGATCCAGCATCAGCCACCAGAGTCTCCTTCATTTCCTGATCTCCACCTGTATTGGCCTCTTGTCTGAAGTCTGTATCAACAGGCCATGGAGCATCCTGGCCCATCTGACTCTCCTGATGGTAGACCAGGCCCCTCTCAAGCCCCTAGCAAGGGAACTTCTGCAGGCAGGAGCAAGGGCGTAAGGAAGGGCAGGGTGGCCAGTCAAGATAGTCATCCCTACAAGGCACCTTCTGTGGCGGCAACTAGGGATGCAGAGAGGCGGCAGCGGGCCCTCGATAAACAATTCGAGAAAGCCCAATGCCAGGCTGTGAGGGAGTTCCCTCAGCCTACCCCTCCAGTTGGGCCAGTCATTCCACCACTCCCAGGGGATTGCCTGTCAGTGACTGATGAGGAATGGATTTCCAGGAAGTTTCCCCAGATAGGTCTCTAGCTGAACCGGGCTCTCCTGCCTTTTTGTGTGTTTCTGAGTCAGGCCCACCCCCGAGGACCCTAACCCTGGGGGGCTCGCTGATTCCATCCTTGCATGGCAACTTCCTCCTCCTTCCAGGGATCCCGTTGGATCAGACACTACTTTAGCTCAGGAACCTGAGTTATCCATCCACATCCAGGCAGTGGTCACCCGTGCCATCTCTCAGGGCATTGCCCAGGGGATGTAGAGGCATGACCAAGCACCCATCACTCCCAGCTCTTCCCAGCCCAGGCAAGAGGCTCCCTCCACCGCCAGGTGGGTCCGTCACCCATCTCTGGAATCCTCGGTGCTCAGCGAGGCTTCCGTTTTGGAGGACCCGGATCAGGAGGAACAGGAGCTCTCGGAGGACGAGGACCTTTCTCTGGACACTCCTGCCTTCTTGGGGCTCTTTAAGCCTAGCCTATTTAAGTCATCTTGCACAAGGCTAAGAACACCACCCAAGTGGGTACTAAACCTAAGACCTTCGGGATCTTCGGATTCCGCCCGGGTTAACCCCAATGCTAGCATGTTTAACGTTCAGGCACCTCAGCAAGAGCTAGTGCCAGTTCCTGATTTCTTTATGAATGTCAGTCAACGGCAATGGGCCAAGCCTGGCTCCCTGGCCACGCCCAGTGGCAGGGATAAGAAGCTGTACTCAGTTGACCCTGCGCTGGAAGACATCCTGGTCCTCCCATTTGTGAACCCCTCTATAGCGGCCCTCACTTCTAAGTCAGTCCTCCCGGCTGACCTGTTGGAAGGCCTCAAGGTGGGGGACAAAAAAGTGGAGAAGGCCTGCCACAAGACTCATCAGGCGGCGGCCTGGGCCATTAAGGCGTCTTCATCCACATCCTTCTTTTTAGAGAGCCTCTGTCATTTGGCTGCATGAGCTTCAGACTAAGCTGCCGGCAGGAGACACTCGTCTTTCCCAGGACATAACCAAAATTATTGCAGCGTCTCAGTACAGGGCTGATGCTTCCTTTAACGTGGTCAAATTCGCCTAGGGCATTAGCTTCCAACATGACCTCCTGCTGCCTTGTCTGGCTCCATCACTGGCAGGCGGACCAGATGAACAAATGGAAATTGGCTTTTGGTCTGTTTAAGGGGTCCAAATTATTTGGGGAGGTCTTAGACCCCTTCTTGATTGAATCTAAGGATAAACGGAAAGTTCTGCCCACCTTGTACAAGAAACAGGATTGTAAATCCGCTCCTTATTTCAAGAGGCAGTTCTTTCATTCTAGTGAGTCTGCAGGATCCTCTTCTGCTCCCTCGAACAGACCAACTGGTCAGTCGGGAGATAGGTCCCAGGACAGGAAGTCTTTTCGGGACAGGGGTAGGCAGCAATTCAACTACCGCAGGTCCAACCATGGCGGTACTTCTAACAGGTCTGTCCGCAAGTCCAAGTGAAAAAGACCAGCGATGGCGAAACTTTTTTGTCTTGCGTGCCTTAAGTGGGGGGAGCGCAGGGGGGTCATGTGTGGGTGTGCCACACTCATAATGCAATGTGTGCCCCCCAGTGCGCATGCGCGCATAAGAGGTGCTTTGTCCCCATTTTTTGCATGCTTTTTTCACCCTCCCCAGGCTCCAGAGGCTTTATAGGCGCCTGGGGACGGCAAAAACAGCCTCCCCCGTCGCCCAGAGGCCCTCTGGAGGCTTCAGGGACCTT